CTCCCGTCGGACATGCCCGATTACCTCCGTGCTTGGGACATAGGTGAACATCTCTGCCTATCCGATGACGACATCGTCATTGAGACGTCGGTGGAAGCACCCGCAACTCACGACAATCCCACACTGTCGAGCACGATGACAGTCGAGCCGTCAGCAACGACGAGAAAATATTTCGACCCCGATCCCGATCGTCGAGGACCTGCAGGCAGTCTTTGGAACCCTTTCAGAAGAATCTCCTGAAAAGATTAGAGACTCTGGTTCAGAGACCGTCAGCACTGGGCCACTGTTGACGACGCCGCCCTGCGAGGTGGAACACATGTGTATTGTGAAGTACGAGGATGACAAGTATCACTGCCCCAGCCACCTCGACATCATGTTTCGCTTCAGCGTTGACTCACCATTTTACCACATGTCATTTAATCCGCACAGTCCATGGGCTCAGCAGCTACCCGACGCATGTGGACACAACTACTTCATCCTGACGATGATGAGGAACATTGATCGGAAAGACGACGGCGAGTTGGTGCTTTTCCATTGGGTTCCACACTTCTTCGCCACCATCCAGGACGACGCCACTAAGCGTCTTGTGGAGACATCCCCATCCGACATCCTGAAGTTCCATTCCGCTTTCGAGTCTTTGTTTGCCCTATGGGCGAAGGACGTGCTGACCAACCCGAAATGCGACGAGTATTTGGGCGACCCCATGAAGGACAATATCAAGGCTGACGCCATCCCGACCCCTTCCGGTGCCCTGGGTCCTGATGCCGATCCTGGTGGCACAGCATCCGCTGGCGCCCCGACCCGGGAAGAGATGCTCACGGGCCTGCGGGCCTACTTTGACGACAATCTGCAAGGTGCCGAGAAGGATGCCAGGGACGCGGAGCTCCGTGCCACAGCAGAGCAGCTCATGACAGAGCAGAGGGCACGGCCTCAGCATACCACGCTCGTGAACATATATCGGCAGGTGACCTCTCCGATCCGATGGCCGACGAAGGATTGGAATCTCTGGCCGCCGATCTCGCCACCGATCGCGCTCATTTGATCGCGCATCGTGCTCCGCGTGGTCTCGGTCGGTCTTTGAGCGCCGGTGGTGACGCCCGCGACCTCGTGCAGCAGCTCATTAAACATGGTGCTGTTGACATGCTGAAGGAGAAGCGTCATTGTAAGAGCTGCTACCGTGATCTCTCTGATGGCTTCCATGGTGACGCGTGCAACATGTGCAGTGAGTCGCAAAAGTACGGGGAGATCCGAGTTGCTCATATTCAGTTTCTCGCCGACGTTCACGCGTAGATTCGAGGCAATTTGAACGAGCAAATCGTGCGGCAGATCATGCGTGCGGACGTTGCCATCCGCTTCCAGGGCACGTGCTCCGATGGGGCTGAGAGGAAGGATTTCCTTCGCAGGCAGGCGGCTAAGGCAGAGAAGCGTCGCGCCAGATGGGTCGGGGCTGGCGGGCCTCGCTCAGGTGACTGCCGACCGGGCGGAGCTGGCGCGGATGGCCAGCGCGACGGCGCTGTCCTGTGCCGCCCATGTGTTGACGTGGTGGAGAGGTTTCAGACTGATCCTCTGTTCTACACTCAGATGACTGATGGCAGGGCGGCCCAGAATAAGCAAGAATTCGCGATCGATGGTATGCGCGATGCCGTGCGATATTTTCGTGACAGCGTGGATTCGGGGTGCGCTGGTCGCCGGGCACAGGCCCCTGGAGCGCTCCGCCGAAGCGAGCGTTTTGAACGTGGGTCATCACCTTTTCCGCTCCCTCGGGGAGAGGTCAGGGATCGATGAACCGCGTTGCGTTGGCTGAGCGCGTTGCGCTGGCTGAGCTCCACAGGCAGGTCCCCGAAGGCGCAGCGAAAGGCAGGGCGGGCGCGGATATTGCCTCCGTCATTGACCCTGTCCACCGTGCTCCTGCCCCTCCATCTCCGCGCCGCAGTGTCCCCGTCGGCGGCCGTGCCCCCGGCGCTGGCTGGACTGGAGACAGCGGCTCCGCTGCGAGCACGCGGATACCCACTGCGCTTCCGAGGCAGTTCCCGCGAGAGGTGGAGCACAGGGGCCGCAGCCGTAGTGCTGCGCGCCAACGCCGCAACGCGGCGACGTCGTGGCGCCGCAACGTCGAACGCTACCAGCACGACGCGCACCGCTATTGGTCCTACTACCTCGACAAGTGGGTCTACATCGACGAGAACGACTGCGAGTACATTTGGCTGGACACCAACAGTGGACGTACGATTGGTTGGTTTAACGAACGCGGCAATCGTGTCTGGGGCATTTTTTTTTTTTTTTTTTTTTTTTTGATTTTCAGATGCATGTATTGGACAATGCTGCGTTACTGAATATTGTAACTGGTTCCGTGACATCTCATTATATGACAGTCTGCTTACGTTGATGGCTATTACGATTGTATGCTCTGATTTTATTATTTCACATGGTCTGAGATTTATTGTGCATGTCATCTTTCACCCCATTTACGTCTTGACAGATTTGACTTCACTTCGTACAATGTGGCACTCATGGTATAAACGCACCCTGGCAGGTCGCCCGTCGACGATATGATATAATTCTGTACATTTTACTTTCATGAGAAGTCGGAAGAGACAGAGTACGACACATGCAATGCAGAGTTCTCATGACATTTGCGATGAAAAGCTCGCAATCGTTGACGTGGTCACATTGATCGTGCGTTTTTTAATGTTAGCGGCGCCGCACATTATCGATTTTACGTCACATGTTGTACATCTTTTTCGAGGCCTGGAGTGTTTTCCACTTAGCATGTTATCCTCATATATATATATATATGTATATATATAGTGCTTGAATGATGGGGTACTCCTGTTGCCTGGGCCGTCTCATACTTGTGGCGTCTTGGGCCCGTTTTCCGTTCCGCAATCCCACGGCTCAAGTTTTTTCAGGGTCCAATGTTTCCGCAGGGACTCGGGGGGGTTCTTCTTGCGGCCCTCACAGGAGCGTGGTTGGCCCCATCGCCTCTCCGTGTCTGGCTCGGCGCGTCGAGCGGTGCTCCCCTGGCGCCGAGCTGCGCTGCCCCTGCTCCGGCGCCGCGCTGGAACAGCAGCTGCCCTGCGACCTGTCCCGACCTCAGCGAGGTCCTGGCAGAGCTCCGAGAGCAGCGGCGTGAGCGCGAGCGGTCGGCTGCTGGGCGCGAGGAGGCGCGGCGGCAGGGCGTGCCTTGGTGCGCTGAGGTGGTGGCGGCCGTCCTGGGAAGCCCGGCCTTCTACGCGAACGTGGTGATAGGACTCATCTGGTCCTTGCTCGTCTTTGTTCTCAATGGCCTTCGTGGATGTCGCCAAGTATGGTCTGCACGCTGGAGAGAGGGTGCTTCTCTTTTGCGGGGACGAGCCGAATCTCTGGCACGAGGTGAGCATTCCCCGCAAGAGCCCCGAGAGGTGCTACGGGAGGGTCCACGGCGAGGACCTTTCGATGAACGATTGGATCTGGTGGAGTCTGACAGTGGACGGCGACGTGTGCCCGCAGGATCTCTTCGGGTCCGGGAACCTGCAGGCCCTCCGATTGCTTGACGCTGAGGGTGAGGTGACTGGGACTATGTATGGCCGAGGTCCCGCCGTGGAGCCTCGATATGCCTTCGGGGCGGGTCGGCGAGGAGGTCCTCTCGATGTGCCTCTCTTTCTCCGTGCCAAGGCTGTGGTTGACGAGGAGGAGCGCAAGGGGGGTGGCGGTGGATACGCCCCCGTGGCGAAGCCGCCGCCTTCCGCTCCGAATGGGGAGATCTGGCGGATTGCTCCTTCTTCAGATCAGTCCTTCAGTCGTGGATCCGTGTATCCGTCTGTGGTCGAGGGTCATCCCTTCACTCTCGTAAAGAAAGGGAGCGCTGATGCCATGATGGTGGTCATTCCTGGAGGGATCTTGCGGTGTTGCACGGCCGCCTCCGACTCGATCGACGAGGATGTGGACACTCGGACTCTTCCAGTGGCGTGGCGGTGCAACGCCCGCCGCCGCCGCTTTGTGGAGGGCGTCGACCTGAAGCAGCGCCGCGGCTACGGCGACTCACCGCTCGAAGGGGAGGCATCCATTCTCTGGTATTTGGAGAAGATCGCTCGGAGTGGAGAAGGTGGCCCCATCCAGCGTCACTACAATTGGGCTCATCAGTGGAATTCCGGGGGTGGTCGTTCGGTGCCTGGGCTTTTCTACATCATGAGGGTCCTCGAGCTGGCCGCCGAGGTGGACCAGCTCTACATCCCCACTCTGGTCTCTCTGGAGGCGCTTGGGTGGGGCGCCATGCTGATCGAGCGGGCGCTTCTCGCCTCCCCTGAGGGCACCGACTACGCCGGGGCCGACGACTTCATGTGTTGGGGCCCGGGCCGTGGCAGGGCTCGGGTCGCTCCGACTTTGGTCAAGCACGGGGTCGAGAAGGCGCGCGACAAGACATCTGTGTATAAGGAGGTGCTCAAGCACAATGAAGAACTTCGTTTGAGGAAGCCGCCCAAGGGCCCCGAGAAGGAGGGCCAGGGCGGCGATCATCCATGATGGGCGGCGACGGCCTCCCCTGCGGCCCGAGGGTGGGGCCGAGATCTAGGGCGCTCCCGGCCAGCCGGCTGGGCTTTCTCGCTGGTGTCGTCGCCGAAGAGCGTGACGTCCCGCGCGAACTCCTTCCTCTACCTTATGTTCCTCAGGAGCCAGTCGCTGGTTCCCACCTTTCCCGAGGAGTTCGACAGCGGGCCCAGGGGCGACGTCGGCTCACGGACGAGGTGAATGAGAGCATCTGGGCCCTCAACTGGCTCGTGGGTTCCTCCGCCGCCGACGCAAAAAATTCTTCTCTGGGACAGCGGGCCACCGTTGACCACCTGTACGACACCATCAATTCTTTTCGGCCGCCCTCTCAGACGGCCTCGGACGAGGAAGCCATGCGTGCGCTTCTCGGCAACAGAGTCCCCTATGGCGGGGACGATGACTTGACAGTGGTACCCTACGACCGTGCTCTGGTGTCTCTCCCTGGTGACGGACGCGTTCCCGTGCCCCTTGCCGAGGTGCTGCCGCCAGATGCCGCAAAGATGATCGTAGATTTTGATACCCACCTGCTCAAGGACGCCTACCAGTGGGGAGCGGAGGTGGAGCGTGGTCTCGAGCACATCGGTTCCTACATGGACCCCCGACTCCGCTTCAGCCGCCGCAGCTATCTCAACTTCATCGGTGACCTGTTCAGAGGTGGGCTTCTCGCCTGGCGACGGGCCGACCAAGTTCGAGGCAGGATCTCGGTATTTTTTGTACGAAAGAAGTCGGGCAAGCAGCGCCTCGTCGTCGACTGCAGGCGCGTCAACGCCCGCTTCCGAGAGTGTCCCCACGTGCCAATGGGTTCAGGATCTTCTTGGGCCGACGTCGTGATGGACGCGGACTCTGACATGTATCTCTCGCTTAGTGACGTGAAGGACTACTTCTACGCCTGTGGTCTGCCGCCAGGCCTCGAGAGCTTCTTTTGCCTCCCTGATATAACTGGGGAAGAGCTGAAGGTGGTCACCCGAGGCGATCCCTCATTTGGGCACTTGTGGGGCTCCGTGGCGGTCGCCCCCGCTATGAGGGTGATGCCGATGGGGTGGACTTGGAGCTTCTTCTTCGCGCAGGTCTTGCACGTTCACCAGGTCCACCAGATCAGGCCCTGGGTGTCGGGCGCGGTCATGCAGGACCGCGTCCCTCCGCCTCCTTTCAGGGCGGGGACCGAGCTGGTCCTGCCCTGCTGCGACAACTATGTGGCGGCTGCCTCTTCTCCAGCCCAGGCCGACGCTCTCCGAGAAGATAGCAAGCGCCGGATGACCTCGCTCGGCTTCGAGGTCCACGAGGAGGAGGCTGCCCGCCACTGGGCCGAGTCCTTGGGGTTCGCCATCGACGGACTCACTGGGGAGCATCGCCCTAGCCCTGCCAAGGCGTGGCGCCTCCGCCAGGTCTGTCGTCGCATGAGCCGCCAGCGACCCTGGCTCAGCGGTCGTCAGCTGGAGCGGCTCTTGGGACATGCTACTTTCCAGTTTCTGGGGCATCGGCCGCTGCTCTCTATCTTCCGCAGCTGCTACACCTTCGTGCAGTGTCACTACCTCCAGCCGCGGCGGCTCTGGCGGACCGCCGCCGAGGAGCTCCGTGCTGCCGCCGCTCTGCTGCCCTTTGCGCGGGCCAACATGCGGCGACCCTGGGCTTCGGAGGTGGAGGTTTTCGACGCTAGTCCTGCTGGTTGCGGAATCATGACAGCGACCCTGTCGAAGGATGTGGTCTCTGAGATCGGGAAGGTCGATGAGAGGTGGCGCTACGCTTTCCAGTGCGAGCAACCTGGCGGGCCTCGTGAGTACGCCCTCCGTTCAGCTCCCCCCGTCGAGGAGTGTTTCAGCAACGCGGAGACCGTTCTCCCTCGCGACTGGTCTCGGCGGCGGTGGCAGCCCGTGCAGGACTTCCCGGAGGTCCCAGCTTCCATGTTCCAGGACTTCGACTGGCGCGAGTGCGTGGCTGGCCGCTGGAGAGACGAGGAGCATATCACCATGCTTGAGGGACGCTCAGGGCTGATATCTGTGCGGCGCACTTGCCGTTCGCTGCTCGACCGAGGCAAGCGACATCTCAAGATAGGTGACAGTCTGGGTATGATCCTTGCTTTTGCCAAGGGGCGGGCAGACAACTTCGGCCTGCTGATGCTCTGCAGGAAAAATGCCGCGCTCACCGTCGCTATGGACATGACCATTCGATGGCGCTGGATTCCTTCAGAGATCAAAGTCGCCGATGCCGCCTCCCGTCGTTATCTTACAGAGGATCACCGCAGCCGCGAACGAGGTCTGGCCCGTCTCAAGCTTCGTGGAGGCTCGGGCCTGGGGCCGCCCGCGGCTGCTCGCGCGGGTGAGGGGGCGACTGCTGCCGCCTACACAGGCCAAACTGTCCCATGGCGAGGCATCTGCTGGTCTCCCGCGGGGGCCCGCCGGCAGCCGCCCAGCCAAGGGGCCGCGGGTCTCGGGCGTGCTGCAGGCGCCGCCTCACCAGGCGTGCTCCGCCCCCCGCGAGGTCAGCCGGGGGCTGCCGCCCCCGACGCACCGCTGCCTGCCCTGGGCCGCCTCAGCTCGGGCGCTGCCAGCCAACGCCGGCTGGGGCCGCGGGCTGCAGACCCTGGCGCGGCAGGCGCGGGCGAGGACCCGCCCGGCGGCAGTCAAGGCGGGAGACCACGAGATGCAGGAGGAGCTCGAGCTGAAAGGGATCATGGTAAGCCTCCTCGAGATGAAGTCCGTCGGAAGGCAGTCGATCCCCTATTATCTCCAGAAGTTCAAGGAGTTCTTGGACTTTGTAGTCGCCCACGTTTTCGACCTCCACAAGGACGAGGACGTGGGCGAGGTGTGGGTGCAGCTGATGGACCTGATGTACTTCGATGGGTGGCCGGCCGACCAGGGCGGGAAGCTGCTCGCGGCGGTGAAGCTCGGGATCCCGCGCTTCTCCAGAGCGGGGCTAGGCGGCCTGCCGCTCGCGGCCCGCGCCCTCGGCGGCTTTCTGAGGGCCGCTCCCGTGGCCTGCCGCCTCGGCCTTCCGCAGGCGTGGGTTGTCGCGTACATCGCGGCGATGCTCTGGCGCGGGAGGCTGGAGAGCGCCCGCCGGGTGTTGGTGATGCACGACGCGTACCTGCGCACTGGCGAGGCGACGCGGCTCCGGGCCGAGGACTTCGTCCCGCCGATCGGAGACCGTCGCGGCCACGAGCGCGGCGTGCTCACCCTCGGCTCCTCGAGCGTCGTGATCCCCACCGAGACAGGCGTGCTGGACGACGCGGTCGCCCTGTCAGACTGGGACTTTCGGATCAGCAAGGTACTGGGGCTCCTGAAGGACCAGCGGGCCCCGCACGAGGCCCTGTTCGTCACGAAGCCCGCTGCCGTCAGGAAGGACTTCGATCAGGCTTTCCTCGACCTCGGGCCCGACAGGCGGAACCTCGCGAGCTGCCAGCTCCGGCGCAGCGAGCCGAGCCGAGACGCCCTTCTCGGGCGCCGCACGCTTCCCGACATCATGAAGCGCGGCAGATCGGTGAAGAGGTACGAGAGGGACGGAGTACTGCAGAAAGCACTGGCCGGCAGCCCGAAGGAGCTACTCGACCTCGCCGTGGTTGCCGAGTCCTCCATCGCGGGAGCGCTCCATGGACAGCCGTCCCGAGTGGCCCAGCCGCCCCGTGCTTGAAGCGCCGAGTTGCAGCCGAGATTTTCTCCGGCTCAGGGCAGCTCGCCCGCGCTCTCGCTCGGAGTGGAGTGCCCACGGAGGCCTACGACGTCGCCGACGGCCCTGGCGCTGACTTGCTGCGGCCGAGCGTCGTGAGGCTTCTTTGGGACAAAATTCGTGCTGGCTCTTTTTGTTTCGTGTGGTTCGGTGTGCCTTGTAATACTTTCTCACGTGCCACCGACCGTCCCAATGGCCCTCGCCCTCTCCGCTCGAACACTTATCTGTATGGTCTGCCCGACCTCGATGCAAAGCAGCGTGCACGTGTGTCAAACGCCAACATGTTAGTGCGTGTTGTTTGTAGTCTTGCTCGTGAATGCAACAAATGTCACGTTCCATGGGTTCTAGAGAATCCTCGGACCTCCCGCCTGTGGCTTATAGATGAGATACGGATTCTTGAGAGGAAAGCGTCCTCCGTAGTGTTTTAGACTACTGCATGTATGGGATGCCCTGGAGAAAGTGCTTCGGTTTGTTGGCACTCTTCCGGGTTTGGAATCGTGGGAACGCCGATGTATTGGACGAGTGTGTCGGCGTACTGGCCGCCGCCACCAGGCCCTCGAAGGCAAAGACCCCTCAGGCGCTTTCTGGACCAGGCGGGCTGAGCCATATCCCACATCTCTCTGTAATGCTATCTCCTCCTCTGTCGTCGCCTCCCTCCCTCCTCTCCCTCATTAGAACAGCTTCTGGTGCTGGGGACGGGTGGTGGACCCTCGCCGTTTCTGTACGTCTCATCGTGTCAGTTTCGCTCGGGCCCAGTCTTTAGGCAGGCGATGCCTCTAGGTGGCATCTCAATATGATTCCAGTTTCTCTGGTCTTGGCATAAAGGAGTGCTTGAATGATGGGGTACTCCTGTTGCCTGGGCCGTCTCATACTTGTGGCGTCTTGGGCTCGTTTTCCGTTCCGCAATCCCACGGCTCAAGTTTTTTCAGGGTCCTCCTGCCTCCTCTCTTCCCCCGCTTCTTTCTGGGTGGTGGACCCTCGCCGTTTCTGTACGTCTCATCGTGTCAGTTTCGCTCGGGCCCAGTCTTTAGGCAGGCGATGCCTCTAGGTGGCATCTCAATATGATTCCAGTTTCTCTGGTCTTGGCATAAAGGATATATATATATATATGTACATATATATGTATATATATATATATATACACCAGTTGTCACCACAACTCTCTTAATATCTTGTGAATTTGGGCCTTGAGAGCCCTGGCAATATTTTTGGACCTGGAGTGTCCCGTGAATAAGAGACTTCCGTTTAATTACTTCGATCGAGTTGTCGTCACAATTCTGATCCATCGTATTCTGATTTACGATACTGTGCGCACTCTCGCTGTGCGCCGGTGGAGACACCTGCATCGAAGGACGCAGTAATGTTCTCCAATTGCCTTTCTCTCTCTCTCTCTCTCCCAGCCTCGTCACCTGGGGTGACGGGGAGTCGTACAGGTGTGCCGAAGAGTTTTTTGGGGGCGCACCTGGGGCCGGCTAGAAGCGGGTAGAATCTCCTAGGTACCTTGTGTGGCGGGGTTGGCCCCGTCCTTACTTTCCTAGCCGATGCGACCTCGTTTGGAGGTGCGGTGGATGTGACAGTGCATTGAGTGGGCCTCGCACCTCTGATCCCGAGCCCTGCCGTCGTCTCCCGTGGGCCCGAGGCCGTCGTGGAGCTGGCAGGACTCGGGGCAGTATGTGTGTGTGTGTGTGTTTGTGCGTGTGCGTGTGAAACCCGCTCATCTTACCATTATATCGCCATATACCGGTAACGTATCGGCTTCAGGTATTGGCATTGACATCGCATCGCGCTGCCCTCTGCGCAGCGCCCAGGACAAGGAGTAGCTGACCTCTTCCTCCTTTGCCTCAACTTACGGACCCAAGTATAGGACCGACCCCTCGGTCGTATCCCTATGCGCACGCATGCTGCTGATGATGATGATGGTGATGATGATGATGGCGAGGAGGACGAAGAAGAGGAGGAGGAGGAGTGGCGCTATCAATGATGCAAGCCTTGGCGATTCCATGTTTTTTTTTTGTTGCGCCAGAGGCCTCTGGAGGAGCTTTCACCTGAGGTATCAGCTGTTCTCCAACAGCTCAAGCAGGGGTCGCAGGAAAACCAACACAGCAGACAAACAGTCAGACAACCCATATTTCATGAGAGCTTCTGGGGGCGACCTCGGCTCAGGAATATTTGCCGGAGGCATACGTTTTGATAGATTTGACGATCCTGCGTTGGGTTCCCGCAGCACTGCTCGCGCGCCTCCTTCTCCTCATCCTTTCTTCCTGCCTTTTGCCTCCTGTCTGCATGCTCCTTGCTGCGAGGTGGCGGCCTGGGGGGTGTACTTTCGGTCGTGTCTTCCTCCTTCTCCTATCTCCCCTTCCCCCTCCTCCTCCCCCTCCTCCTCCTTCTCCTCCTTTTCTTTCTCCTCCTCAGCGGTCCGTCCTTATCCCGTCCTTCTCCTCCTCCTCCTCTTTCTCCTCCGCCTCCTCCTCTTCATCGCGGCTCCCTGGGGGTGCTGCCAACTGCGCAACTGTCGTCACATTCGCAGAGTGGGTAGTCACGCACACCCAGGCGATACCTCGCGGTCTCCTGGGGGGTTGCCATCCTCCCGTTCATCCCATTGTTGCTTCTGCTCCTCCTCCTCCTCCTTCCTCATTTTCCTCCTGTTCCCCCTGCTCATTCGCCACCTCCTGCCCTTCTCCTCCTCCTGCACCTCCTCTCCTTCCAATGTACACAACTCCCACTTACTGATTGCGCATCGCATGATGGGTCATTTTGGGGATCCAGGTCCGCTCGATCACCCATCGGCGGATAGAGAACTAATCAGCGCAATGTGAGAAGATGGGTGGGGGGGGGGGGTAGGATGTCAGATGTGGCGCAAGCGCGCCTAGCTTGGTCCTTCCCCCCTCCCCTCCCCCCCCCTCCCCTCCCTCCCCTCCCTCCCTCCCCTCCCCTCCCCCTCCCCTCCCCTCTCCTCTCCTTTCCTCTCCTCTCCCCTTCCCCTGCCCCCTTCCTCTCTCGGATAACGTAGCCACCGCGGGTGGCGGCAGCCCTTGCACATGTTCGGGCTGGGTCGGGGCGCACAGGAGAACCGTCGTGGGCTGGGCATGCTAGGAGAGTGCCGACTGAGCCATTTGCAGCCTTTTCTTTCTTCGAGCTCAGACTTTACGCGTGAGTGTTCGGCCGCCGCTTGTGGACCCTGTCGTCGGCCTGGCTCTGCTTGAAGGCTGCCTGTTGCGCGCCTGTCTGGGGGTGTGGCGGCACCTGCGCGGTGGATAAACGACGTCTGGACGATGCCGACTCGCACATGGCCTCCGAGGGTCGCCTTCCGGACGACCTTGAGTTCTGACACGCGAGATGCAACACGAGAGCGCTGGCCACGAGGGCGCTGGCCACGAGGCGCTCATGTGGCAGGAGGGCGAAGTCCGAGCGGAGCTGCAGCTCAGATTGGCGGGCTGACGTGGCCGTTGGCTTGGAATCGCGCCCAGGTTTGTCGAGCGGTTCGCCTGGGCGTAAGCACGAGACGCGGCAGCAGCCGTACCAGCAGTATTATCGGGCAGACAGGCGCGCGATTGTGCCCGCTGGCAGAGCCTAGCTTTGCAGACGAAGCCCGAGCAGCTGAACCACGTGGTTTCCTCGGCCCCGTGGGCCTCCTCAGCCCTGTTAGCCCCTGCAGCCCCTCAATCCCTTCGGCCTCCTCAATGGCCTCGGCCACTCCCTCTTCTCCCCCCCCCCCCTCCACCTCTCCCTCTCCCCTCCCGCTCTCTTGCCCGTTCCCCGCCCTCCTCTCCCTGGGGAGGTGGTTGGAGGAGATGGCTCCCCCCCCCCTCCTTCCCCCCTTCGCACCCCGTGCCCTCCTCCCGGCTCCCTGCCTCCGCGCCCCCCCAGCCTGCCCGCGGCCCCCAGAAGTCCCGACCCCCTTCCCCTGGGGGTGGCTCCTCGTCCCCGATCCACTCGTGGATGGCCCCTTGGGGCCCGACCACGGGCCCAGGAGTCCGCGACCGAGGCAGCGCGCCTGGAGCGAACCAACAAATCGGATCGTCGGAGATCTGACCTCTGGCGCACTGGTGCCGATCGTGCCAGTGGTCGAACCAGCGTCGCCGTTGCTGCGTCGTCCTCCTCCTCCTCCTCCTCCTCCTCCTCCTCCGCCCCCTCCTCCTCCTCCTCCTCCTCCTCCTCCTCCTCCTCCTCCTTTGCAGAGCCCGACGATGCCTTGCCCCCGAAGCAGACCAGCCAAAGGAAGCACCAGGGCCCGACCAGCGGAAGCCGCATGCCGCGCAGGGGCCGATTTCTCCGCGCGCCCCGCGCGCCTCGGGCCCTCGATCGAAGAGGCGGTCTCCCGGAGGCCATCCCTCCCCTCTGGCGCGGCGAGGTCAAGGGCAGCAAGCTCGTGGGCGAGCACGGCAAGCCGGTGCGCTTGCGGGGCGTCTCCCTCTTCTGGTCGCCCGGGGGACGGGCGCGCGCCCAGCCCGCGCCTCCTCGCGGATCTTGGCAGAGGAGGGAGGGAGCTAGGGGAGGGGAGGGAGGGGGCGGGGGGGGGAGGAGGGGGCGAGGAGGGAGAGGAGGGAGAGGAGGGGCAGGAAGGAGAGGAGGGAGGGAGGGAGGGAGGGAGGGAGGGAGGGAGAGGAGGGAGGGGAGGAGGAGGATGAGGATGAGGATGAGGATGATGAATGATGATGATGATGATGATGATGATGATGATGATGATGATGATGATGATGATGATGATGATGAGGATGAGGATGAGGATGAGGATGAGGATGAGGATGAGGATGAGGATGATGATGAGGATGATGATGAGGATGAGGATGAGGATGCTCCTGATGATGATGAGGATGATGATGATGATGAGGATGATGATGATGATGATGAGGATGAGGATGAGGGTGATGATGAGGATCAGGATGATAACGAGGATGCGGACGATTATGATGCTGATTATGATGATGATGATGCTGATGCTGATGAAGATGATGAGGATGAGGATGAGGATGAGGATGATGATGATGATGATGATGATGATGATGATGATGAGGATGAGGACGAGGATGAGATCGAGGATGAGGACGATTATGATGCTGACGATGATGATGCTGATGCTGATGCTGATGATGCTGATGATGCTGATGATGATGCTGCTGCTCCTGATGATGATGATGATGATGATGAGGATGAGGATGATGCTGATGAGGATGAACATGATGATGATGATGATGATGATGATGATGATGATGATGATGCTCATGCTCATGCTGATGATGCTGATGCTGATGATGCTGATGCTGATGCTGATGTTGATGCTAATGCTGCTGACGATGATGATGCTGCTGATGATGCTGATGATGATGATGGTGATGATGATGATGATGATGATGATGATGATGATGATGATGATGATGATGATGCTGGTGCTGGTGCTGGTGCTGATGATGATGATGATGATGATGATGATGATGATGATGATGATGATGATGATGATGATGATGATGATGATGATGATGATGATGAGATGAGGATGAGGAGGATGAGGATGAGGATGAGGATGAGGATGAGGATGAGGATGAGGATGAGGAGGAGGAGGGAGGGGGAGGAGGGGGAGGAGGAGAGGAGGAGGAGGAGGAGGAGGAGGAGGAGGAGGAGGAGGAGGAGGAGGAGAGATCCGTAACTACTTTTGGCTCAAGGCTCGCTGGAGGTGGTCCCCTGGCGTGTCCAGGCATGGGCATCGCCTGCCCCGGGCTTTCCGGGCTAAAGATGGCCCCAAGGCCTTCCCCTAGGGCCCTCGAGGCGCGCCCAAGAGGCCCCGAAGAGGCCCCCAACAGGCCCAAACGCCCAATCTGTGTTCGTTTTTTATTCGTTGTTTTGCCGATCGGCGCGGGTCCCCAAAACCCCCTCCCCCCCCTGGAGCAGATCTTGGCTGTTTTGGGCGCCTGTTTCATGCAGGTGGAGTCCCTCCCCCATCGGCCGCACGGTTCCAAACAGTCGCACTAAGCAGAGGGGGGTCTGGAGCCAGACCCTCCCTTTCCCCCCCCCTTCGCCCAATGTCGAAACGCCGAATTAAAAGACGCTCACAAGAGCGCCCAATATACCAACATTACATGATTTTCGCTTTTGTTTCAAGGAATTCCGCGTTCTCGGTTTTGCGAGCTTTCAACGCTCCAGGGTAGTCCAAGAGGCCATCCAAGGAGCCTCCGAGAAGCCAGTGAGAAGGAGCGAGTGATTGCAAGGAAAAGGACAGATGGGGAGATCCGGTAGACATTAGTCGCGCGAGAAGCGCGCCCGTGATTCCAATATCCATGTATATTTGCACCATTGTTTTTCCTTGTTTTTTTCCTCCCCCCCCCCCCCCTCTCTCTCTACATACCTCTCTGTCTGTCTCTCTTTCTCTCTTTCTCTCTGTGTATCTCGCTTCTCGTCCTCCTACTACTCCTATCCGCACACATGGATTTCTTACATGTGCAATCTGGCGCGCTGTTTCGACGGTGCTCGGGCCTGTCGGCATGGGGCACCCGCGGCCCAGCGCGCCCCGCCCCGCGCCGGCCATCCCGCGCCGCGGGCGCCGTGGCCTCGGGGGGCCGTCGGGCCGCAGGAACGACTCACGCGGGCGCAGCACGGCGTCCGAGAGTGGATGGGGGAGGAGCGAAGTGGCTGCACGAAAGGTTCTTAGAACATTTCGGGCTCATGTTGCCTTGTTGTAACACATCGGGTTCATGTTCTAAGAACAGTGTTTCGTTCTTCGAACATGTTTTGCGGTTCCAAGAACATGTCGTGGTACCTATAGGAATGCCAGGAGGGTCGGTCTCTGCTCAACGATAGGGGGAGGAGCTAAGCGGCCTTGGGAGCCTTAGCCCCCAAATGGCCCCCAAGACCCCCAGCATCGCGCGCGCGCACGTTCTGTGCGGCGTGTTTCGTCTTGCCACTGCGTATTAGACCTTCACGGTCTGCTGCCTAGTCCGCGTCACTTCATCGCTCCTCTCTTCTTTTCGTATCCTTTGCCATCTGCTTCTTCCCTTCTCCACCTTCCGCCTTCTTCTTCTGCCCCTTTGTCCGCCATGCTCAGGTCGCAGTGGATGGGGAAATACTGGACTGCGGACGTGGTCAGGTGGCTCAAGAAGGACCTTGGGAAAAGGGCGCCTCCCCCTCTCCAGATGTCAGGAGTACAATTCTCGGGTTGGGAGGATGGGGCTGGGAGAAATGAGGATATCCTTACCCGTAGGCGGCCGATGGTATCGCTCATTGCATCCGAATGCGATTGCTCATGCCCTTCATGCTCCCTGTTCCTTCCTCCCAGCACGATCATTGACCTCCTCAAGATGTTCCGCCGCGCTCTCCCCCCGGCAGCTCCTCACCGAGCCTGCTCTTCCTGCTGAGTCGGCGCTTGCTTCTTGGCAGGCCGGTGCGCCCCGCCCCGCCCCCGCCCCGCCCGCGCTCCGCCCCTCCCGCTGCTGCTCCCGCGCCAGCGACGCCGCTGTCGTGCCGCGTTCGCCTGCGCCCGCCGTCGGGAGGCGGTCGAGCAGGCAGCTCGGCCGTCGGCACGAGCGCCCTCCGCGGCCTCCGCCCAGTCCCGCTCTCCAGCTCCTGCAGTGCACAATTTCGCTGTGCAGCCGCCCTGTGCCGCTCGACAGACCTGCGCGGTCGCCGGGTCCGCGGGGGGAGAAAAAAGAGGGGTGAGCACGGGCGCGTTTCGTTGCGCCGTCCGTGAAGGAACCGCTTCGTCGCTATTCCATCGGTCCGCGCCGCTCTGCAGTGTCACGAGGGACACCAGGCCGTCATCCCTGGCCTGAGTGCTGCCCGCCCTGAGGTTGGGGCGGCTGGCGTTATGAAGCGGCTTGTTCTCTGCGTCCAGGTACAGGTTCTTCGCAGTGGAAAACATGACCCCAAGTAGACCGAGGCATAATGTGCATTCGCGGAAATGGAAGGACCAAATCCGAGGCCTCAGGTCGTCTTGATCCTTGGACTCGGCGTGTTGCAACCGCCGTGAGGGCCAGGATACTCAGGGCCATAGTGACCATGATGATGATGATGCTGCTGCTGCTGATGCTGATGATGATGGTGATGATGCTGCTGCTGATGATGATGACTATGATGATAATGATGATGATGATGATGGTGATGGTGATGATGATGATGATGATGATGATGATGATGATGATAAAGTTGATGCTGCTGCTGCTGATGCTGATGATGATGAAGATGACGATGATGACGATGACTATGATGATGCTGAGGCTGATGATGCTGCTGCTGCTGATGATGATGATGATGATGATGACGAGGACGAGGATGATAATGCTGATGATGCTGATGATGATGATGATGATGAGGATAAGGATGATGATGATGAGGATGATGATGCTGATGCTGATGCTGACGATGGTGATGATGCTGATGATGATGCTGATGATTATGCTGCTGATGATGATGCTGATGATGAGGATGATGCTGATGCTGATGCTGATGCAGATGATGCAGATGATGCAGATGATGCAGATGATGATGATAATGATGATGATGATGATGATGATGATGATGATGATGATGATGATGATGATGATGATGATGATTATGATTCTGATGATGATTATGATGATTATGATGACTATGATGATGATGATGATGATGATGATGATGATGATGATGATGATGATGATGATGATGATGATGATGATGATGATGATGATGATGATGATGATGATGATGATGATGATGATGATGATGATGATGATGATGATGATGATGATGATGATGATGATGATGATGATGATGATGATGATGATGATGATGATGATGATGCTGATGCTGATGCTGAGGCTGATGATGATGATGATGATGATGATGATGATGATGATGATGATGATGATGATGATGATGGCGATCATGATGATTATGATGACGTTGCCGCTGCTGACAAAAGTGCTGGGGTTGGCGATGTTGTGTATACTGAGGCTGACGAGGATGATGTTGTTGTCGATGGGATGCCCCGCGCTCTTATCCTCGTGTCCTTGTGGCCGATGTTTGACCGTGTGCACTTTGAAAGACCAGCCCGTATCCCTGGTCCTCTCGGCGACTTCGGGTGCCCTGCGCTTTCCCCCCTCGTCCCTGGGGCCGATCTTGACCGTGTGCACTTCGAAGGACTGGCACGTCTCCTTGATCCGCGCGGCGATGGCCGTGGAGAGCGGCGGCTACATCGACAACCCTGGCGCCGAGCGGCAGAAGCTGGAGGCCGCTGGCGGCCGCGGGGGCGCTCCCGGAGAGGCGGTCGAGACCGGGCTCGGCCGGGCTGGTGGTTCAAAGAGGGGGTCCTGGGGGGTGGGGTCCTAAGGACGAGGTGCCTCAAACAGTGCAATCTACCCTTGGACCCCTTCCCACTCTGGGTTTCTCAACAAGCGCGGGGGGGGTACCCCCCGACGGGGGTCAACCTCGCCTCGTCGTCGCGCCGCGACGGGGGTCGGAGCGCCTTCGGCGCGCGGTGGCTGCCCACGACGGGGGTCGATGTGAGGCTGTCGGCGGGGATGACGCCCCCCCGACGCGTATTCAGAAACTCGGAGTGTCCTCAGGACCCCATCCCTCAGGACCCCATCTTTGAACCACCGATCGGGCGGGTCGAGGGCTGCAGGCGAGAGGCCCCCAGAGTGGGCCCTAAGACCCTAAGAGCTGCCCCTGAGCGGCCACCGCGGGCCCATAAGGTGCACGGGAGGTGCCCGCTGCTTTGCCCCGCGTTCGCTGCCCCCGCGTCCACGAGGGCCCGAGGCTCACGCGCGGGGTACTTCCCGGGTGGAAGAGTCAGCTGTTTTGCTGTCGCAGCGATGTGGTACGCATCGCGTCCGTGGGGTGAACGGCTGCGCAGGATGGCGGCCGCGGAGGGGGAGGAGGGAGAGGTGGGCTCAGTATGTGAAGTGCTTCGCGTGCTCAGGAGAGAGCACATGGCGATGACGGCGTCGTCGTCCTGTCCACCTCTGCAGGCGCTTCCCTTGGAGGTTCTCCCCGCCACGGCTCACGCCGCTCGAAGAACTGGCCACGATGGGCCCCTGGAATTGCCAGGGGGCCGATTCTGCGAAGCCTTTTTTTCGAAGGCCCAGCACGCGAACGAGCCTCTGACGTGCGCTCGGGCACATCGCTGCCGCCGCCGTTTTGCTCTACCCCCTTCCGACGTCCGTACTGCAACGGGCGAGGTACCTCGGAGTGTAGGGAAGCGAGCCTCCTCCTCCTCCTCCTCCTCCTCCTCCTCCTCCTCCTCCTCCTCCTCCTCCTCCCCCTCCTCCTCCACTTCGGAGGCCGGCCGCCGTCCTGGTCACGAGCGCCGCGGCACAGCCTCCGCTTGCCCGTCCTGGAGGAGCGGACTCTTCTCGGGACGCCGCGGTTTGGAGGAGCTGCGCGTTGCCGACGCGTTTCGTGCCGCGGCAGCGTAGTTTCTGCGGCTCTCTGGTAGGAGGCGTCTGTGCGCTCAGACGATTACTTCATCGCTCCGGACCTCCTCCCCCGCGCCCCTCCTCGCCCCTCCTCCTTCTCCCTCCTCCTCCTCCTCCGCCTCCTCCTCCTTCTCCGCCTCCTCGCCCCTGCCCTGGGTACTGGCGAAGCTCAAGCAGGGCACAGCCATTGGCTGGAATGATGTTCGGGGACCGATCGCGGCTTTGCAGGCGACGTTGATCCAGGTCGGGTGGGATCCACAGTCTCCGCTGGTTTGGTCTCGCCCGCTCTCGGACGGCACGATCGACGATTGGCTTTTCCCCAGCTTTGGTGATGAGCAGTTCGGCACAGCAGTGATGGCGCACTTCGATGATATGATTGGCGCTTTCATGGATGATTGTATTGCGCAGCAGTGGCAGGCAGCTTCTCAGCATGTTGCAGGCGAGGACCTGGTTGACGGCGCCGACATGACGACGGTGCGAATCTAGCTGAATCGCTTCGCCAAGCGCATGCAGTTTGAGGAGTGGTCCGCCGACCTTGCAGTCGTGGGGGGCGGCCAGTGGACTCGTGAAAGGCATATTGCTGCAGGGTACGCCTGCCTGCCCGTGTGTCCCCGCTGTAAAGACATGTCTGAGACTTTAGTGCGAGTGCCCCGCGGACCGCGGGCGCGAGGATTTTGAAAAGACGGGTTTCCTGGTTCCCCAAGCCCTCGCGAGCTTCGATGCGCAGCCTGCGTTGTGGCTCCACAGAGTGCCTCCGAAGGACCTTGTGGTGCCTAAGTTTGTGGAGGTTCCTGAGGTGGCCCAGAAGGTCCTTCTTGGGGCGGGGAGTGTTTTGGACCATTGTGTCGCCTCAGGAGGCCCCCCCTTGCACATCTTCGGGGATGGCCTTGGAGACGAGCGCAGCGCGGACGCCAGGAGGAGACGATGCGGCTCGGCGATTGTTTTCATGAACCAGGATCCCTCGTCGCCCTCCTGGAGCCCTGTGTGTGGCGTTGCTCAGGTCCTGGTCGGTAGAAAGCAGACAGTGCCGCGTGCAAGCTTTCTGCTTAGCTCTTGAGAGCTCGTCTGGCCCTATCTGCTACGTGACTGTTTGTAGGAGTTTAGTTTCCGATTGCCGCTCTTGCCGTGCCAAGTCTCCTTGGGCCAAAACGGTGACCTTTGGGTCCGTGTCGGGCGCGCTCTGGAGGCCCGCGGTCCTGGGAATGTTTCTGTGCTGTGGACCCCCATCGCAGCGTGAGGAACAGTTAAAATGGGTCAAGACGGAATTTGAGTTGTTTTTGAGCCTGGGCGACGCTTGTGCCGACGTCGGGCACTGCGGCCCAGTGGTCTTGGGGCTGGTGCGTGACGCCCCCTGCCCCTCGGACGGACCTCTGGGACACGACGGCGGCACTGGTGAGGCTCAGAGCTCGGCTTGCGTTGCTTTGGCGCTTGAGGTTCAACCGTGGGTCGGTGAGAGACCACCTAGCGTCAAGCAGCCGCTTGAGCCAACCAGTTTGGAGGAGGCTCTGAGAGCTAGCTCTCGCGACTTTGTGCCGCGTGCTGGTCGCTGGAGGTGTAGGCTGTGTAAGGATATTGTCCCGAGGGGCAGGCTGCTCAGAATCGCCTCGACCCGTTGCCGTGATCCGCCTCTCGCCGCGCCGCTGGATTCGGATGAGACGCTGGGTTGCCTCCTGGGTATGGCGAGGGTTTCGAGGCGATCTCGGACGGGGTGCTTCTGCATCCCGGCCACCGTCTCGCCAAGATGAAGGCCTACGGGCTGTTCTTCTGCATGGCGTGTGGACGCGCATCCACTGCCTATGCGAGGAATCTTGCAGGCGCGTGCCCCCCCCCCCCCGTCGGGCTCCCCGTCTCGCAGAGGGGGGGGGCCTCAGGATGATTCGAAGAGGTTTGTTTTCTAGCTATCGTGGTCCACCGGCGTCCGTGATGGCGGCGATTGCAGTGGGCGCGGTGAGCCGCGCACTCCCCGCTCCTGGAGCTCAGGTGGGAGGGGCGCCTGCTCAGGGGCCAGCGGGGGAGGCGCCCGACCCACTCGACGAGTATTTGAGGGTTTCGTCGACCCGCCATCCGAGCGAGACGGCGGCCTTCATGTGCGCCGAAGCCGAGGGGGCACCGTGCCGTGCTGCTGCCGCCCCGTCTGCCGCCGCTGCCTTGTGGGAGGTAGCTGCGCGCCTTCGCGCGTCGAGCGCCTGCGGCAGCGGCGGCGGCTTTTCGCAGCAGCGGGCAGCGGCAGCGGAGGACAGTGGTGACAGGGATTGATGCCGCTTGCGCGGCGCTCAGCAGAGTCCAGCAGAGTCCTCCTCCTCGCCCCCCCTCCTTTCCCTCCTAAGTGAGCTCGACATCCGACCGCCTGGTGGCGTCTCGGTGAAGTCTTCGTGATGCGTTTCATGGCGCGTTGGACCTGAACTGTTTGTTGTTGTTCGTCTATGAAGCCCGGGACGACGTACTGATATTGCATGGGGGCTGGCTTTTAAGACCGGAGGTCAGGAGGTCATCGTCAGGGCAGAGGACCTGTCCTGAAAATCGGGCGCTCAGCGTCGCAGTGGGGATCTTCTTTGAGAACGACAGCTGTCCTGGCAGGCTGGTGGCAGGGGTCAGCGTCGAGGCCTGGTGGCCTCTGGGATTCCGCGTTGCCTGGTGGCTCCACATCGGCCTCAGGTCTACCTGACTAGGTGAACGCCACGCGCCGTGATGGGCTCGTGGGGAGCAACGGTCTTTCGTTGACGGGGCTTCTGTCACCTCCTGGTCGGACGCCGTGGTGCGGCGCCGGGCCCTGGGGTTCCCGAGAGTTGCACTCGCTGCAGGCGTTGGTCCCTTCGATCGCGGCGAACGAGCAGACTCAGCTGTTGGCGCCCCCCGTGTGGCGCTGTTTGGTGGACCACCCGAGGGGGCGCCGTTGGCGCTTGCGGCATTCGCAGCGGGGCGCAGTGTGGCCAGTTTGCTGAGGGTGCCGCAAGTGCTGGGCACAGACGGGGCATGTTGCGAAGGCGCAGTTGGATTTGGGGCCTGCCCATCTGCCAGGCAGCTCGTCCTCGGTGGCGGCCCGCGTGCGCCGCGTGGCGTCCGGGCCTCAGCTTCTACCAGGGAAGGGCCGATGGCCTGCTCCTTTAGGTTGCGTAACCAAAGGAGGGTGTTGACGTTGCCGATGCGGGTCGCCCGGCGTTTCTCTTTCGCCCGGAAGGCTTGTCATTGACAGCGAAGAGAACCCAACAATGGGACCTCGAGATGGTCTTGGCGCGATACCCGTGGACGGTGAAGCCCCGCGGCAGGAGCAAGCCGTCGCGGGCTTGGTTGTCGTCGGGCGTTTAATATAAAGGCCATCCTGGTGCGCATGCCGTTTCAGAGATTCGTCTCCCTTCCCAGTGAGACACGTGGTGGGCCCTGGCCGTTGGATCTCGAGCTCTTGTTTGTCCGCGGGCCTAGCAGCGCCCAGCTCGTCCTGGCTGCTGTCAGCGGACGAGCAGACGACCTCCGCGTGCAGTTCAGGGCAGATCCGTCTGGGAGGTGCTGGCTGTCCACGCACTTCCAACATGGTAAGACAGTTGTTGGGGGCCCTGGTGTGATGGGCATGTTCCCCACCACCGCCACTACAAGTTGGAGGGGGTGGCCCCCGGCCCCCCCCCCCCCCCCCTCTCCTTCCTCCTCCTCGCCTTCCACCTTTTTCCCACTTTCAACTTTATGGTGGTGGTAGTGGAAAACAGGCACATCATGGCGGGCCCCTTGGGCTGATTCGGCTCCCTCGGGCCGTGGGAATCCGAGTCGCGCGTGCGTTGCCGCGGGCGCCGCTGGGTGGGCTCGTCGCGGCGGCTGGCGGGTCGCGCGCGCCGTTCGCCCCTTCCCGGGTCGCCGCTCCTTTGGGAGCTCACCTTGGCGACGCCTGGCCTGTGCTGTGGCAGCCGCGCCTCCGCGGGGAGGGCCGCTCGCTTCTTCCGCGGTCGTGATGTGCGATTCGCTCGTCGGGCGGTGGTGCTGCCTCGCGCGCTGGTGCCCGTGAGGTCTGCCTGTTTGATGGGCTCTTTGTGCCTTGCCCACCGGGCGTGCAATTTGGCAGGCATGGGTGCGGATGGGGAGTTTGATCGAGGCACGAGGCGTCGCACCTGGCGAGGAGCTGGGGGACCTTGGGGTAGGTCAGCTTCGAGGCGTGTTGACCTGCGTTGAAGTTGTGGATCATGGCTGTATTGTCCCCTGTGCCGACTGGGGCTTATTTGGCTTCGCGCGTCAGCATGGCGATATGGTTTTCTGCTTTCAGGTGTTCCGCGTTCTCTGGGTTGGTCGCGAGCGCTGGGCTGCAGTCGAATGCGCTGGGTGGGCGCTGACATGGGCGCGGCCTGGTGACGCAGTGGCATTGCCAAGCGTCGTCGGTGAATTGAGTGCTTGTGGCCCTGTGGACGTGCAGTGCGTGGCCTGATGTAGAGCCAGGGCGATGTTCATGGTGCAGAGTTCCGCTGGCCGTGATGGAGGCTGTACTTCCTGGTCGTTGGCGTAGAGTCTGCTTCGCTTCAGAAGCTGATGGATGCCCCGCGTTGGACTCAGGGTGCTGTAGATGTGGGTACGGTTGACTAATGTGCTTGGTCTACCATTGTGTTCTATTGGTTCTGATGGTTAGCAGTGCTCCGAGGAGCGTCTGTCTGCTGGGGCGGCGCATTGAGCCGATCTTCGAGAACCCGGACGGAACCGCAAGTGCAGCGCGGTGCTGCTCGTCGCCGATGCTGGCGAAAGACTTGGCTGTTTGCCTTCCCTCTCTGCGTTCCGATGGTGCGCCTCTGAGGAACTGCTTTTGGGTGGGGACTGGTGTCCCTATCCTTGGGTCGCGTAGACGCGCGCTGAAGACAAGGGCCTGGGCGCGCGCCAAAACTCCCATGGGGCCGAAGCGCAGAATAATGCCGATTCGACATTGGCGGGCGCTGGTGCGCGGCGGGCATGGCAGGTGTCGTTGAGCCAAATGCTGCGGGCGCCGACCGTGCCGAACGTAGCTGTGCGAGCCGAGGCAAGCTGGAATCGTCGTCAACCCCTAGGCGATGATGGCAACTAGAGAGAAGAGAACGCACCGATGCTCCTGCCCCTGCAGGAGCCAACTTGAACTCGCAATCTTTCGGCGTCAGTTTCCTCGACCGGGCGGGGGCGGCCCATCGTGTCGCCTTCGATGCGGTCCTGGCGGTGGCGCTGGCGTGGGGCGCGTGATGCCAGAGGACTCGGGTGCCCGCTCGCCATCTCCTGACGTTTTTTTTTTTTTTTGTTTTTTTTGGGGGGGGGGGGCCGCTTGCGGGACCGGCCTCGCCGTCTAGTCCAGGGGGGCTCGGAGCAGGACTGGGTGGGCTCAGTGCACGCTGGGTCGTTTAGGCTTGGGTCAACGATGCGAGTGATGCCGCTTAGTTTGTACAGGCCCTCAGGTTTGTGCTTTGGCTGGCTTGTTCAGATTGGACCGCGTGGATTCCTTGCTTGAGCTGGTGGCGTTGCTGGGCGAGGGTGGCCTGGCTGCCGGCCAAGTCGGTGCCAGTTGTTCCGAGCCGCTTGACAGTGTCGGTTGGCTTCTGCTGGTCGGCCCCCAGGTCTCGGAGCCTCGCGTCCGCTTGATCGGAGATGCCTTGAACATCTGGTTTTGGCAGCCACTGTTCGTCGCATGTGACGTCGTAG